TAAAATACCATCGAGCAACAAAGAGATATCTACTACAAATTTGTAGAAATTAGAAACCAGCTAAGCGAGCCTATTCGCAGTTGTAAATTGCCTGGAATAGAAATAAATGTACGCGATAAATATAGTGCATTTGAGAAAAACCACGCGTTTCTGATGGCGCAATCAGTTAGACGAGGAGATTACTTTGAGAAAAACATTTTTGAGGAAACTCAAAAATTGGTGGAAGACATTAAAACATTGATCCATAAGCATAGAAATGCGGAAGCAGAAGCATCAGAAATGCAGTCCGGAGGAGAAAGCATTAGTCTGGAGGAAGCTGACGCAGAGCTTAAACCAATAGCGGTGGAGATCGAAAACAGGGAGCATCATTTACGCAGCAGAGAAGAAGAGGCAGTGGAAGTACGAGGCAGTACACTGCAAGTCTTCAGGATGCCGAGTCAAAGGGAGACTGCGGTGAGGAAAATGGCGGTGACGGCGAGTAGAAAGGTCGGGGAAGCTTCTAATCTGAACATTGCGGCTGCAGAGAGGAGCGAGGAGGCTATGGAGTCCCTCACCCTAGGCGATGAGCCAAACCTAAACTCGGCACCGACAAAATCAAGTAGAGACAAGAGCTCTACTAGAAAATATAGATGCAGTGATGGGAATGATGCACAACAGACAATAGAGGATCTGGGGTCCGCAGTTAGGTATGTTGGAGACCTGGTGGATACCGCAGAACGGGAAGTGAGGAAAAATCCAGTTTACTGCACGATGGCTGCAGGTTTTGCAGAAGCAATCAGAAATAAAGAAAACCATCCTACAACTTCAACCAAAAGACACAGACAGGGTGGATCACCCCCACAGCATAATACACAAAAAGGAGATTGAAGTGCCTCCATTCAGTGGGGAGATAAGCGAATGGGAGTCATTTTATGAATTTTTTAAAAGCCTAGTGCACGATGAACCATGCTACACTAACGTGGAGAGAATGTATAGGCTAAAGACAGCAGTAAAAGGAGAGGCAAGCCGAACATCACAACACAACCCACGGTGAATGTAATATGGACAAGTACTTAGAAGGACTGTACTGAACATTAGTAATATTTGGAATATATGTCAATGTAATGAAGCGGAATATATATAGCATTTCCAGATTAAATGAAACCTTTTACAAATTAAATGAAACCTTTTCCAAATTAAATGAAACCTTTTCCAAATTAAATGAAACATTTTCCAAATTAAATGAAACATTTTCTAAATTAAATGAAACCTTTTCCAATTTAAATGAAACCTTTTACAAATAGAATGAAACCTTTTCCAATTGAAATGAAACCTTTTACAAATAGAATGAAACTTTTTCCAAATTAAATGAAACCTTTATTCTTATCTAAGGAAATATAATATTTGCAGTAATTTTAAACCAATATTTGAAAATTAAATCAAAGAATATTAACAATTAATATTCATTGATGAGTGTGGATTTAATCTTCACATACGAAGAACCCAAGCCCGTTCAAGACAAGGAACAAGAGCACACATTGTGTTGCCTACGGTCAGAGGTCGTAATGTCACTATAATTGCAGCAATAAACAACGCGGGAGTTATACATCACACAATCGTTTCTAATTACAGTGTCAATGCAGACAGATTTAAATTATTTATAGATTTTTTTTTTGAGAAAATCAATCCAGAGTTGGAAAATAACTCTCAAATACACAAGCGACATGACATAAAAAAATTTGATCGAATCCAAAAGATGCAACCTTAAATTCTTACCGCTTTATTCTCCAATGCTAAACCCAATTGAAAATGCATTTTCAAAAATAAAATTATGTGTAAGAGCTGAGCTGTGTGACGTTTCAATGGAACATAACATTGTTGATGTAATCGAGCGAAGTATTCAAAAGCTTACTCGGCAAGATTGTTCTAACTACGTTATGGACATGGTTTTGAAAATCCCACAAGCTGCAAGTCGGGAACCCCTTCATTAAGATAAGCAGTTACCTTATCATCAACAATTTATTAGGACCAATTTATTAGACATTTAGGACCGGGTATTCAATTCTTGTTCTTAAATATTTATTTATTAAAATGTCAAGAAATACCCCATTTTGTATTACTATTTATTTAGTTTTATGTAGTAAAGATATTAAATGAAATCACACCGAATTAAAGAATATTTATGTTAATTACATAGCCATACAACTATATTTGTTAATATTCTTTGATTTAATTTTCAAATATTGGTTTAAAATTACTGCAAATATTATATTTCCTTAGATAAGAATAAAGGTTTCATTTAATTTGGAAAAAGTTTCATTCTATTTGTAAAAGGTTTCATTTCAATTGGAAAAGGTTTCATTCTATTTGTAAAAGGTTTCATTTCAATTGGAAAAGGTTTCATTTAATTTGGAAAAGGTTTCATTTAATTTGTTAAAGGTTTCATTTAATCTGGATATATATCTATATATATATATATACATATATAAAGTGTGTATAGTTACTAATTGAGAACGGTAAGAGGAAGCAAATCTTTCTTCGTGGAATAACTCGCAATTCCCTGCATTTTCATATGTTTTACACATATAAGTGGCAATGGCTCAATTATAAGAAAGATGTGGAAGTGATAGAAACATAAATTTGATAGATTTTCATTCATGTTTTTCAAATTTTATTTTGAAGATTCGAAAATATTTCATTTTCAAAATAAATATAAGTTTTTTGTTTATTTATATTTTTCTGTCAAATGACGTTGACACTAGTATAACTTACAAAAACCAATTTCCATGTGGTTGTTGTATCGTTTGTCGTACAACAACACTTGCTGTTACCTTCTATTATTATACCATGAATTTATATATAGAATCATGTTTTGTCAAGTTAGAAAATATATGTGTGTTTCTCCTTTTTTTAAAGGACAATCATCTACTTTGACTGGCTGGCATCTATAAAGTATATGTACTCTATCTGTCATCTATTTCTAAAGACTGTCATCTTTAGTCATTTATATTTTGTTTTTAATTTACTAAAATAAATATTAAAAAATATTTATTTTAGTAATTTTTTTGTCAGTCAAGTCGTATAGAAAATATTTTGCATTGCCTTAAACGTTTACTTATTTTCTAATTGCGAACTTCATGAAGTTTCGAGACACTTAGTCGAAACTCTTAGTCGAAACTATTTTCGACTTTATTATAGCGTCTTTTAAAAAGTTCAAGGATCTAAAAAGTCCAATAAATATAATAATATTTAAGAATATTGGAATATGAAACTGAGATTTCCATATTAAAGTAAATCTAAATGTATGCCCAAAAGTTTCGAAATATATAAAGAGAAAATCAAAAACAACTTCGATATATTAGGTTGAGGAAAAAGAAATCCATTATTTTTATATGAACTATAGGACTTTATTTAAGATGCTTCGGAATGTCCTGCACTCTATTTGCAAAAACTCTAGTAGGCGATTATCACAATCCTCCCTAGAACCCAATTTTTTATCATTAAAGAAATTTCGCTTGGTGCCAAGTCGATCACACGTTTCCCCAACTGGCGGATGTAATATATCTGTTCACGGATAAGTGAACAGTTGTAGTTGCATAGAGGAGATAAAATACAAAACATAATTTTGTGAATGTACAGTCCACAAAAATAACATGCACATTTAAAGAAGAGGCCTCCGTCGTGGAGGTCACTAAAAGATAACAATTGTCACATGGGGGAATGTTTGAGTTAGATTACGGACGGGAATCTAAACTACAGACTGATAAGCATGTGTAGCGTGTTGCATGCAACGTGGGAGATAACTCGGTGTGAGTGTGTGACCTCCCCATAAGATTATGGCAGGCATGGTACATACGCATGGGCACACATCTTATCTCATATTATGTTTCTCTCTCTTATGTACTAGAATATTAGGTTAAGATTTATTTGTGTTCGTAGTTCTTAAGAAAAAATATTAAATAAAGAAAATTAGTGTAGCACAAACAACCAACCGAACAACTCATATATATATATATATATATATATAAATATATAAAAATGGGAAAAATTGAAAATACCATCGAGCAACAAAGAGATATCTACTACAAATTTGTAGAAATTAGAAACCAGCTAAGCGAGCCTATTCGCAGTTGTAAATTGCCTGGAATAGAAATAAATGTACGCGATAAATATAGTGCATTTGAGAAAAACCACGCGTTTCTGATGGCGCAATCAGTTAGACGAGGAGATTACTTTGAGAAAAACATTTTTGAGGAAACTCAAAAATTGGTGGAAGACATTAAAACATTGATCCATAAGCATAGAAATGCGGAAGCAGAAGCATCAGAAATGCAGTCCGGAGGAGAAAGCATTAGTCTGGAGGAAGCTGACGCAGAGCTTAAACCAATAGCGGTGGAGATCGAAAACAGGGAGCATCATTTACGCAGCAGAGAAGAAGAGGCAGTGGAAGTACGAGGCAGTACACTGCAAGTCTTCAGGATGCCGAGTCAAAGGGAGACTGCGGTGAGGAAAATGGCGGTGACGGCGAGTAGAAAGGTCGGGGAAGCTTCTAATCTGAACATTGCGGCTGCAGAGAGGAGCGAGGAGGCTATGGAGTCCCTCACCCTAGGCGATGAGCCAAACCTAAACTCGGCACCGACCGAAAATCAAGTAGAGACAAGAGCTCTACTAGAAAATATAGATGCAGTGATGGGAATGATGCACAACAGACAATAGAGGATCTGGGGTCCGCAGTTAGGTATGTTGGAGACCTGGTGGATACCGCAGAACGGGAAGTGAGGAAAAATCCAGTCGTTACTGCACGATGGCTGCAGGTTTTGCAGAAGCAATCAGAAATAAAGAAAACCATCCTACAACTTCAACCAAAAGACACAGACAGGGTGGATCACCCCCACAGCATAATACACAAAAAGGAGATTGAAGTGCCTCCATTCAGTGGGGAGATAAGCGAATGGGAGTCATTTTATGAATTTTTTAAAAGCCTAGTGCACGATGAACCATGCTACACTAACGTGGAGAGAATGTATAGGCTAAAGACAGCAGTAAAAGGAGAGGCAAGCCGTATTATACAACATCTGAGAACGCAGGATAACGCGTACGAGGAAGCAATGAATTTGCTAAAGGAAAGGTACGAGGATCGGAGAGTACTGTTTAATAAATTGGTTGACTCCATTTTGGACCAGCCAATTATGGACAGTGAATCGGCAGCCAGCGTGAAGAAAATGCTAGATACAACTAAAAACAGCGTTCAGGGCCTTCGATCAATGAAGATACCCTTGGAGAACACAACAGCATTTTTGGCAAGAGTGATCTTGAGAAAGTTTGATAAGAATGGATCCAGGTTGTACGAACAACAAATCAGGAAGCCAAGAGAGATCCAGAAGTTAGAGGATGTGTTCCAGTTCTTGGAGCAACAATATTTGGCGTTGGAAGCAGCAGGTCAATCTTTCGATACAAATAGAGCCATAAAATTCGAGAAAAGATTCAGCCAATCGCAAGAGTCTTGCCATGTTTGCAATCGAATAGGACACAAAATGGTAGATTGTCGAGCGTTCTTAGCAATGACATCAGCGGAAAGGATTGCTAAGGCCAATGAACTGCGAGTTTGCTGTAGTTGCCTTAATCACAAGATGGACAGCAGATGTCTCAGTAACAGACGGTGTCAAACATGCAGTGGAAGACATCATACATTACTGCACGTTGATGAGCAAAAGAAGTACAAAAATACTGGGATGAAGAAGGAAGCAAGCGCTACGAAAGCAACGATGATGACGCAGGAAAGTACTTCGACTGTACTACTCGCTACAGCGCAAGTGAAGGTACGCTCGATGACCGGAGAGGATGTAACGATGAGGGCGATTATCGACCAAGGGTCGCAGGTAACATCGATATCAGAGGAAGCTGCTCAGATTCTTGGACTTCCACGGATCAAAAATAATACCATTATTCATGGACTGGGCAGCACGCCAGTGGGAGTATCCAGACATAAAGTTAAGATAGAAGTGAAGCCTCGATTTCTAAGCAACGAAATCTTTCGCACAGAGGCATTCGTGCTACCATCAGTGATGAGTGCTCAACCAGAGGAATCATTCGAGGCCAATGTAGAAGAATGGAACAATTATACATTGGCAGATCCGTTGTTTAACAAGTCAGACAGAGTGGACTTGATCATCGGTGGCGATCTGTATTCCGAGCTAATGGAAGAAGGCCAGAGAAAGGATAATGGACCTTTTGCCCAGAAAACTAAATTAGGTTGGATTTTATCCGGCAAGGTACAGCTGAAAAACAAGTCCAGAAGATATCATTCAGCCGTGACTAATTTGGAAAGATTTTGGGAGATCGAGGAGGTAGAAACGCCAGCAAGTCCGGCGGTGGAAGATGACTGGTGTATGCAGATGTATGACGAATCGACAGCAGTAGAAGATGATGGACGAATAGTGGTGTCATTGCCGTTGAAAGAAGATAAATCACTCGGCGATTCCAAAAGTCTGGCAACAGCAAGGTTACTATCTACAGAAAGAAATCTACGGCGCAACCCTGAGCTGCGAGGCCCCTACAGAGGATTTATGAAGGAGTACGAAGACCTAGGTCATATGGAAAAGGTGTCATCAGAATCTAAAGGAAGATTTTACTTGCCTCATCATGCAGTGATACGAGAAGGTAGTTTGACTACGAAATTGCGGGTGGTATTCGATGCGTCAGCGAAATCCACAAATGGAAGAAGCCTAAATGACATAATGTATACAGGCCCTAAGCTGCAAAGAGATATATTTGACATCATGCTGCAATGGCGAATGTACCCCTATGTGGTAACGGCAGACGTGGAAAAAATGTATCGTCAGATAAAGGTGCATCCGGCTGATCAAGAGTATCAATATATTTTATGGAGGGAAACGGAGAGCCAGCCGATTCAGCAATATAAGTTGACGACAGTGACATATGGAACAACGGCAGCACCATTCTTAGCAGTGAGGACACTATTTAAGATAGGAGAGGATCCCGAACTTGATACTCAAATAAAGAGAATAATAAGAGAAGACTTTTATATGGACGACCTGATGACAGGTGCAGATTCAATAGAAGAATGCGGAAGAATTGTGGAAAAGGTTTCCAGTCAATTAAAGAAGTATAATTTCAACCTACGAAAATGGCTGTCTAATGACGAAAGAATCTTGGGTGCCGTAGCGGATAGAGGAAATAATGAGGTCTTAAAAATTGAAGATGACGAGTCCATAAAAACTTTAGGCGTTTTATGGGATCCGGTAAAAGACGAATTTAAATTTCAAATTAGGTTAGGTTAGGTTGAAAAGAGGGGTGGATGATACCACCACATGTCCAACATGAGAAGGACATACACTTAAGCCATATGAGGCCTGTTGTTCGCTCTAGATGTGAGGAGAAAAGTAAAAATCAAGAATTAGTGAAGTGTATACAGATGAAGAAAATACATTTGGGTTTTATACCCTATGAGTCTAAGAATTCCGTGTTTTTTGTGAACTCCTGCAGTCTTTTCCATTCACACCCCCTCAGATCGCTTAGTCCTTGGAAAGTGTCGTTTCCCAAGAATTGTCTCCGAAGGCATGTAAAAGCTGGGCAATGGCATAGGAAATGTTCCAGCGTTTCACTGTCTTCCCCACACGCTCTGCACTCGTTACTTCCTTCATCCATGATTTGCCTGGTGATTTTTCCTCAGTCCCTTATTTGTTTTTTGTTTAGCGTTAAGATTTGCTTAGTTTTGTCTTTATCCCAAAGATTTTGGTTTTGGGTTTTGTGGGTCTCATGTGCCCATTCCCTCATTTCTTGGCGTGTTTCGCTAAAGGGTTTGGCGGTATACACCTCTATCGTGGGTAGTGCAATGGCACTCCTGGCTAGTTGATTTGCTATCTCGTTGCCTATGATTCCCTGGTGACCCGGTACCCATATAATTCGTACAGGTCCTTGTTGTGAGAAATCATTAATGGTTTTTATACATTTCAGTACAGTTTTGGATTTAACTGTTCTGGAAGATATTGCATTTATAGCTTGTTTGCTGTCCGTAATAATATTTACTGTATTTTGTCTTTGGGTTGAAACTAACCAGTTAAGACACTCTGTTATAGCTTGAACTTCCGCCTGTAAGATCGTGCTATGATCTGTAAGACGAAGAGAAATTTCGGTACCCGGTTCTTCGATAAAAATTCCCAGTCCAGTTTTTCCTCCTAGTCGAGAGCCATCCGTGTAACAACAGTTACCCGGCGGCATCTGAACTAGTGTTCCGCTATTCCATTGTTCTCTATCTGGTGTTATTGTTTCGCACCGTATCACTACTCTCGTTTCAGGTATACGGTCTGAGTCAAAGATATTGAAAGTCGACTCATTTGTTACCTGTAAAATGTTTTTATGCGGTGTGTTGTGTCCGGTGTCTATCCACTCGTCCATTGCTTTAAGTCTTAAAGCTGCAACCGACGCTTCATATTTTATTTGGATGTCTATTGGATGTATATATAATATTGTCTCCAAAGCCCTAGTTGGTGTTGTACGCATTGCTCCACATATTCCTAGGCAACACGTTCTTTGAACTTTCTGTAACGTTTTTACGTTACATTTTTTATCCATTGCTGTCCACCAGACAACAGACGCGTATGTTAGAATTGGTCTAATAACGCTCTTATATATCCAGTGTATCATCTTTGGATTGAATCCCCATTTAGAGCCTACAGCTCTTCTGCAGAAACACCAGCATATTTGGGCCTTATCAGCCCTTTGCTGTATGTGGTCTTTCCATTTAAGTTTCTTATCTAGAATTACTCCCAGATACTTAACTTTGTTTGATATGGCTATCGTTTTGTTTTGGAAGATGGGTTCTTCGTACTGACCTATTTTTGTCTTTCTAGTAAAAAGACATATCTCCGTTTTGTCCGGGTTTACATTTAAGCCCCTCGGTTTTGCCCAATCGTATGCGATCTTTAGCACCGTTTCGGCTTTCCTGCATAGTAAGTTTGGGTTCTTTCCCCTAAGAAGTATTATAACGTCGTCTGCATAACAGACTGGTTCAAATCCTTCGTCGGTTAATTGGAAATTATCTAGGGATTGGAAATTATCTAGGGATTGGATAAGCGTATTAGTGCTGACATTGTTGAAGGCTCCTTCAATGTCAATGCATACCGCTAAGGTATACATCTTATCAGCGAAGGTGCCCTCAATATAGTGTACTACCTCATGTAAAGCGGTTTCCACCGATCTTCCCTTTACATACGCATGTTGTTTGTATTTCAGCGCATCATTGGGTATACTGCTCTTTATCATGGTGTCGATTGTGCGTTCCATGGTTTTGAGTAGGAAAGAAGTTAGGCTTATTGGCCGATATGATTTTGGTGTGGCGTAATTTGCCTTGCCGGGCTTGGGTATAAAGACTACCCTGGCTTCCTGCCAGGCTTTCGGTATGTACGTCAACCTTAAACAAGCGTTAAAGAGTGCGGCTAGATGTGGTGATAAAAATACCGCCTCTCTTTGTAACAATGCGGGGAAGACGTTATCTGGTCCTGCCGCTTTCAATGGTGAGAAGCTTTTTAGGGCGTCTAACACCATTGACTTGTCAATGATTGGTTCCTCTGATCTTTCTTCCCTATCTGTCATGACATCGTCCATTGTCGATGTGTTCGATGGGAAGTGAGCATTCATTAGGAGCCTTAGTGTTTCCTCGATTGTTTCTATCCTATTACCCTCGCCGTCTACCATAGTTTCGGGTTGGGTGTGGGTCTTGGATAGAAATTTCTTGATTTTTGAAACGTTGTTGACGCTATCTACCTGTTCGCAGAACAGCTTCCAGGAGTTGCGTTTGGCGGTTCTTGTTAATTTGTTGTATTCTTTCTGTTTGTCATGGAAGTTGTCCCAGAATACTGCGGATTTTTTTCGGCGTGCTCTGTTGTAAAGCCTTCGGACCTCTTTTCCTTTGTTCTGTATCTCCCCTGTCATCCAGGGTTTTTCAAAGGCAGATCTCCTTTCTCGAAGAGGACAACTTTCTTCAAAAGACTTTACAATTACTTCCGTTAATTTGTTGACGTTCTTGTCTATGTCATTCGTGTCTAGGCATTCATAGTTTGGTTGCCCTAAACCCTCCTTGACTAGTCTCCCGAACTTTACCCAGTTAGTTTTGGACTTGTTTCGGAAGTGTATTGGTTTCGGCGGTGGCCGTAGGATCTTAAACGTAATATATTTGTGGTCAGAAAAGGAGCAATCTTCTGAGACCCTCCACTCCTGTACCTCATCTATTAAGTTTTCTGAACATAATGTTATATCTAATACCTCCTCTCTAATTCTGTTAACAAAGGTAGGTTTATTGCCTATGTTAAGTGTTATCAGATCGTTAGTATTCAAATAATCTAAAAGGGCCTGGCCCCTTTTGTTAGTATTTGTACTGCCCCACGCAATATGATGTGAGTTAGCATCACTACCAATTAGTACTTCATTACCTGTTTCCTTTGCTTTCTTCACCAGTCGCTGCAGCTCCGCCGTTGGTGGTGGTATCGGCGAGTCGAACGGGAGGTATACTGAAGCCAGGTAAATGTTACCACTCCCCTGTTTCAGTACAGTGGCGTCCGATGTTGACAACTCTGGGGAGAAGAGAAAGCATAAATTTTTTTGGCATATTATACAGGTTCTCGGACGAGACCCCGTATTTGCATAGAAGAGTTGGTAATTTATATGGCTTAATCCAGAGACCTTGTTTTTAATTGTCCAAGGTTCCTGGATCAGTCCGATGTGTATTTTACCTTTTATAATTTTTTCCATCAGGGCCAGGGTTGCCGTCTCGCTCCGATGGAGGTTGATCTGGATGACGTCAATCAATTGTCCTCCAGTAACCGGTTTTCTTGGGAGTCTGTGATGTTCACATCGGCTACCTCCTCTGTGTTGCTGGGAATTGTCCCCTCGCTGCTTTCTTTGGCACCATCGTCTCCTATCCTTGCCTTCCCAATTTTGAAGTACACGGCATTGGACACGTAGTACGCTTTGCCTTTGGTCTTAGCCAGACTTGCCATTGAAGACTTGTCTAAGCCTAACACAAGGAGAGTTCCCTCCTCCTTCTCCTCCCTGTGGAAGACTTCCCATTTCTTCACGTGCAGTGTCTTGTTTTGTAGGCTGAAGACCTTGAGCATGCGTTCCGTGTCGAATTCGCTGCCCCAACCTCTGACGAAGACTGTAGCCTTTTGTAGTTGAGGAATGTCTTTTTTCCTCACCAGCTTGAGCTTCATTGTTCCATCTATGGGTCCAATGCTTGCCACTATCTTTCTCAGGGCTTCTATGCTTTTTGGACTTCCAAATTCCAGCATTAGATAGTCCCCTTTGAACTCGCAGCTATTCATTTCTATAGAGTCCCCTCCTTCCAGTAGGTGCTCCATTATTTTGGTGTTGACCACATTTAATACCTCTCCATGGGTCTCCTTCTTTATCTTACCGGACGCGCTATTTCCGTCGATCACTGCATAGCAGAGCTCGTCTAGATAGCGCTTCCTGGCAACCTTGGCGTAAGACGGCGGCTCCTTACCATCTGTTACTGTCATCTTCCTCTTTCGCAACTTCCGGTTGGTCCTTTTGGGATTCCCGGACTTTGCGGAAGATTCCGACTCAGCACTCGTCTTCTTGATATCAGAGCCAGCCTCGTCTGCCCTCGTCAGTGGATTCTCGTAGCAGTCTCCTTTGACGTTGGTTTGACTCAGCTTTCTCTTATTATCAGTAGACGGGAAGCTCTTTTTCTTCTTGGCGGATTTGACAGTCGTCTGCTCATCCGGAGACCTTATCCTCTTCGCCGCTTCCGCAGAAGTGGAGGGAAGGTCAGGCTTATCCTTTTGAGTTTCTGCCTGTATCTCGCTCTTTTTGTTTGTCCGGTTCAATCTGGCCAACTTCCGCCTTTGTGCCCCAGACAACTGCTTCTTCTTAGTTGTGAGTTTGGCGATATTTTTACTCACCTCCTCTATCATCTTGTCAGCCTCATCTTCCTTCCGGCTCTCCAAGACAGTTATGTTTGTCTGATTATCATGATCAGACTCAGAGTTCGAAGTTGAGTCCCCTCCTGTCTCTGAAGGCTGGGTCGAGATTGCTCTTCCCCTGTGGTTCCTCAACTTCGAATTGGTGTTGCCCGAAGGCTGAGTGCTTGTAGCTATACCTTCGACTACAGATGCCAAGACACCCACATCTGTAGGAGATTGTTGCTCACGATCGCAGGATGACGAGGGGGCGTGACTCGTGGGCAGATCAACGACACACGCGGGTACTGAGTTATTTAGGCTCTGCACCGTAACGTTTATTCTTTTTTCCTCTTTTTCCATCTTTGTTTTTTGTTTTAGGGGAACACCCCCATAGTTAGTTTTGGTCCGCGGGGACAGAAGCCCTGGAGATGGGTGATCAAACTATTCTATTACATACAGCCTGCGCTGGTTGTAATTGATTAGTATGATCATCCACCTCCCCCCTATCCGCCACCTGGGGACGCGCCCGGTAGGAGACTAACAACTCCCTCGGGAAATTTCAAATTAAGTTCGAAGAAATTTCCAAGTTCACCAAGAGGAAAATCCTGTCGCTGATTGCGAGGATTTTTGATCCTCTAGGATGGCTTACTCCAGTTACAGTTGTGGCAAAACTCTTGATGCAAAGGTTATGGGTAATGCAATCAGGCTGGGATGAAATAATTCCAGAGGATATCATAGCAGAGTGGAAGCAATTTGTCAACGCAATAGCTAAACTAA